TCATCAGATGGTTCTTGTGTGATACCTGGCCATCATTTGGGATTGAACCAGCTGATTATTAACATGCACAGACAAGGGGCAGGCTTGCTTTAAAATTACTAAAATTAGAGTTCAGCTGATGTCTTGGCTTTCCATGCCTTTTTACACCTCCCTTTCTTGTGTTCAATACTTTTTTCCTGTGCCACTCCATTATTACAAATAACTTCATTTCTGGACATTTATGGTTTGATTTCTTTGTATGTATGGATCACTTGGGTTGTTACCGACATCTGGTGAAAATTTCACGTCATTAGCACCTCTAGTAATATATTTACTGAGAAAAATGTTGACGTGTTCAATACTTATTTTACCTGCTGTATGTGTACCGCATGTTCCATGTAAAACACATGTTGTGGATAAAGATGTTTAAACAATGTGCATCAGACATGATGCAAAACAAATGCCATTTAAATGTAATATTGTTTGGTGCTGTGAATTGTATTAGGTTGGAGTTTGCGCTTCTGCTTTTAGTTTGATTCTTGCAAAAAAAACTGGAACTACTCTGGCTGCTGTCTATTGCAGTTAAGATACTGACTCCTCAGTGACGCTGCACTGAACCCCGTTTCAGATGACAGGAGAGATCAACATCATGGAGTTAAAAGCGGCATTTTTGTAGCTGTATGTTCCTCACAAACTGTCACTGTTGTTGCTGACAGACATGCTAAGCTCCCTTAGCTCAACAATGCAGACAAACATGTTTACATATTTGGGATTTTCAAAAACAAAACATTGCTACAAAATTCTCAGGCGTCACAATAGTAACTTTGCCTCTAAGGGATGTGCGATAACCATTGTGTTGTTATTAAGAACTTTGTTGTGGGTGTGTTTACACGTAAAACCAGGTTAACTACATCGGTGCCATTTCTACTTTTGTGAGGACCAGTTCACTGAGGCTGATGGAAAATGCAACCATCTTAACAAATGTTCATGCAAAATTAAAAATATTGTCAAAGAACTGGCGAAAGGAGGTAGTTTTTATGCACAGAAGAGACAGCATGGAGACACAGGCGGCTGTGCTAGCTGGGAAGAAGTACGCCTTGAAACTGTGGCAGTCTTTGTGACAAATTAGCAAATTCCAAATAGTAGCTGTTTAATTAAAAAAAAACGAGGTTGTGGTTAGGGAAGCAAAAATCACAGGAAGGAAGAGTGAAGAAGATATCCATCTTTCACCAGCATGCTATTGTCAACGATTGTATTATGAAAAATATATTTCCTCAATTTTTTCAAAGAAAATAACCATTTAAACTGAAATGAAATTCTTTCCAACAACATCYATCATTTTCTAAATTTTCATTTGATTTAACTCCTGACCAATCAGATTAGGGGTTTTCAAACTGTTAGATCCCAGCCCAAAAATTAAAAGTTGCAGAAAAGTATGACCCTCAAATGTTTTGGCTTATGTATATGTAAACTTTGCTAATAACACTGTTGGGCATGATAACAATAAAAAAAACCTATATGGAGGAATTGCATTTCCTGCAAAAAAGTGTGAATGCTTCATGCTAAAAACTTAAGCTGAAAGCTGCTGAACTTGAGCTGAAAATATTTAATAGCAAAATTGTTAATGTGAGCTCACTTTGAAAAAATGAAAGAAAAAAGGCCCAACTTTGCAGAAAAACATTAAAAAATAGCACAAATCTATTTGAAAACAACAGCTAAAAGCTAAAAGAGCTTAAAACATCTGTAAGAAACACAAATTAGATAAAACAAACACAAAGTAGAAGAACAGCAAAATAATAACAAAAGCAGGATTTTATCTGAAATAGAAGAAAAGTTAAAATTTGCAAAAAAAGTTGAATTAGCACAAGAAAATGAAAAACAGCAAAACCAGAAAAAAATGTGTAAGGTGCTTTAAAGATTTAGAAACATTTTGAAGGGTTTAACGATGTTGAAAACAGCTCCATTCGTTTTCAATGGGAAAAATGTTTCCGAAAAAGGGAAATAGCTGAAAAAGTATAAATATCTGAAATGCCAAAAGGTATAGCAGACTTGTCATAAATGGGTTGAAAGTTTTGATAGATGAATTGTTGAAATAGCACAAAAATTGCGGAACGACATGCCGAAAAACGTATGGAAGAAAAAAATGATCTCATTAACTGTTAATGGAATATTTTCACCACAATTGTTGGGAAAAAAATAGGCCACCATTAACAATTTATTTGTATTTAAATTGATGTCTGTAAACCATCTGGGAACCCTCACTTAATGTTTTATGACCCAGAAGGGTCCCAACCTCAACTTTGGGAACCACTGCCTTAGAGGATCACACCTGTCACCATTTTATGTCCAACTCAACATACCAACCGACTCAGCAGAACTTCTCTCCAAGGGCTTGCTGACTTCGTCTAATGAAGATAAACTTYCACTTTCATCAAAATCTTCAGAATAGAGATCGCTGTTTTGTCCACTCGGACAGGAAGCCTCTTCTTCCTCCTCATCTGAAGATCCAGGTTCTTTCTGACTGAGGTCGTTGGGCACCAGCGGCGTGTCAACATCTGCACGATTCTCACCCCTACAGCCTGTCCGCTGGTCCTCGAGAGGCCGAAGATGATTCTGCACGCTGGCAGTTTTGAGTATGCAGTTGGCGCTGGGCCTGCTTTCTGGATCCAAACTGAGCATGGAGCAGATCAGGAAGGAAACGCTGTCTGAGAATATGTCTGGCACTGGGTTATACTCTCCCGCAGTGATCTTACGGAGCAGACTCAGCAGGTTTGTTGCCACAAAAGGGGGTCTGAGAGCACAGATCTCATACAGGAGACAACCAAGGGCCCAAATATCTGATTTGGAGCTGTACGGGATGTCCCGGCAAAGCTCAGGACTCAGGTAGCACGGTGTCCCAACACAAGTGGAAGCCAAGTCTGCAGTGTGGGTCATCATTTTGGATATGCCAAAGTCCCCCAGCTTCACCAGGCCCTGCTTGGTGAGCAGCACATTGGAGGTTTTGATGTCCCTGTGTAGTATCTTGGCCGTGTGGATGTAATCTACAGCCAGGGTCACCTGTGCAAACCAGCCCATGACAACGTCCTCTGCGAAAAACTCATCGGCCTTCCTGGATTTCACCTTGTCGTCCAAGGTGCCGCCGTCGCAGTAGTCCATCACGATGTAAACGAAGGCGTCGGTGGCGTTCACGAAGGCGTCGGCGCACGTCACGACGTGCGGGTGCTCCAGCCTCCGGATGATCTCCGCCTCCTGGAGGACGGCTCTCTGCGTCTGTGTCCTCCGCGTCRGCTTTATCCTCTTCACGGCGTACAGGCTCTTCCGCTCCGCGTGTCTCATGAGGAACACGTCCGCCGACCCGCCTCGGCCCAAACACAGAACCTTCTCGTAGTTCTCCATTTTCTCCGGTTAGTTTGCTTAAAAAACAAAGGACAGGAGGTCACGCGAGTCGCAGCAACTGTGTGTTTACTGCCGTTGCCATGGTGACCGGCTGTTAGCTAGCTCGTCAAAATGTCTAAACTGTTTAKAAAGAGCTCGTTGTTATTTGATGCTTACAGCTGCATTTTGACACTTTATTTGTTTGTAAACTTATAATATTATGTATTTTATTATCTTTCTGCTTCATAAAACGCAGAGTTGCATTAAGGGCTTACCAAAATGTTTGGTATTATTTAGTAGGAATACTAAGGTTAGCTTTAATAAACAGTTAACAAAGTCATCATTTTAGTCATTAATAATTAGTTAAAAGATGCTCAGAAAAAAACAATTCTACAAAATAAGGTCAAGTCAGCAGCTTTTATAGATCATGGCTCATCAAACTCAGCAGAAGAAATAAAATCTACTTTCACATAATATTTACACTATGATGGCAAACATGTTTTCTGTTTTCAATCAATATTAAATATGTACTTTATGCTTTGGACTGTTACAAAAATGTTAAACAATTTCAAAAACACGTCACCTCTCAAAAGCTGTAATATGTTTTAGTGATTAAATAGATTCTTTTCTGATATAAATTCAAAAAATATTTACAAAACGTGCACACAAAATAAATAAATAAAACAGCTATTGCTCAAAGAAAAACCAAAAACATGACGTCCAATCTCAGGAAAATAGTTATACAATTACAGGTTATTACAAACATTTAGTCAGTTTTGGACCTCGCCACTGTAAAGACGGGCTGGAGAGGAAAAAAAAGTCTGCATGTGTTGTTATTTTATACGATTTTAAACAACTCTACTTGTTGATGTTTCTAACCTAAAGAGCGTTCTCTTTTAAAACTAAAATGTGGTTCCAAGGTTGAAAACTGCAATGAGTTGCTTTGTTTACAAGAGCTGAACTCAAATACCCCTGGCTGTGCACGATCTTTGTTTAAAATGTTACCATTAACTATTTGCAGTCAACCCTGTCAGTCTGTCAGCAAAATATCTCACGAATTGTTCAGGTTTTAATGAAACCTTAAAGTAATCATTGGACGTTCAGCAACAATTGATAAAATTTTGGAGTCAACATCACACTTGTGCAAATAAGCAGGCAGATTTCACATAAGGATAATAAAAATATGTGAGGCCCGGTTTGTATGAGACAAAAAAAAAAAAAAACAGTTGCAACATGGTGACATCCAGCATGATTGACATGAACTTCACAAGGACTAAACGCAGCAAATGAAGCATACAGACTGTGATTTTACGAGGCTTCAGTGCTGCAAAGTGTTTTGACTGCAAACAGAGATTGCTCTTCTTCACTCGTGATAACACAAACAGGCTGACAAGATGAATTACAGTCAGCATTGCTAAAGGAGAAAACCAAAACATGATGACAGGCCTGTGACTGCATGAGAGAAACTGAATTGAAAAAGCAAGATCTACAGTATGACTTGGATAAAAATGTTGCAGTTCAGGTTCCAATAAGACCTTTAGGAACAACCTGATGAGCAACACAACTGCTTCACCGAAGAACAACCGAATGTTATTATAAAATGGCTCTAAAATTGTAGAATACCGAGAAGCGATAGTTTAAAAAAAGATATTTGTTGATTTTGCTTAAAATTGAATAATTTAATGATCACTTGAAAGAATAATATTTTGTGTGATTCGTAAGKGGTGTTTTTGTTTGTTTACGTTTTCCAAAAAAAAAAAAAAAAGTACATTTGTGTTCACTGAATAGGTCGCTGTACTCTTTTTGCACACGAGGTGGCAGTGTGGGTTTTAAACTAGCTGCGAGCTACTAAATTAAACCAACGAAGAAGAAACCACGCGACGGCGCTACTGCGCATGTCTGTGTCAGTACAGCTCGAAACTGATCCATATTCTGCCTAATTTATTTGCTAAATGCCACCAAAAGGAAAAGGTGGGAAGGGTGGTAAAGGTTAGTGCACCATAAGACACTTAATGCTAACAAAATGTTATAATGTGTGGTGTTTTAGTCAACAGTTTTGAGTTAGCGTTAGCACGCAGGTGCACATTTCCATGAGATAAAACTGTTTATTTTATGTACATTTCTTAGCTGTTGAATTTTGCACTCTTTCCTAATATGTCGAGTGTTCAACTTGGTTTACTCTGTAGGAGGAGCTGCTTCAGGAAGTGCAGATGCTGAAAAGAAAGAAAAAGCCCCTAAAGGAGGCACCTCTGTCAAGGTAAATAACTACACACTGGATGAAAGGCTGCAACAAATGAGATGATTATACATAAAATAATTTCCTGAAACTTGTGGAACTGTCAATCATGTTAAAATGACACAATCACAACAGCGATTGTAGAGATGTGGATATATATTTTTTAATTCTACGTCAATATTAAATCTGACAGCAGATTCCAAAAGATTTCGAACCATACACAATAACACCAAAATCATGTGATTATCTGAAGTATGAGGGAAGTTATTGATGTTTGTTTAGGTGAAATCAGCTCATGTTTTCTTGCTGCAGTTCACAGCAGAACCACGGTGACCATTTCACCTTATTTTCTATTTTTGCTCATAACTTCCTCAGTGTTTAAGATTTCGCCATGAAATTTTATGAAAATATTCCCATTCTGGTTTTGTAGGAAGCATCTTGTATCCTAAAAAACTAATAAAACTTAAAGAGTAACTTACCCCAAAATTAACTTTTTTTTAGCTGATAAACTGTCTAGAATGTGTCTAAAATGTTATATAGTACTGTTTCTGTACTAATTTTGATGTTTTTGTGTGTATTTGTTCAAATCTGTAATATTTGGTCTAAAAACGTCTTTTTGCTGCGCATATGGGTAGAGCAGTGGTACTGCAGGCTAATTTGCATATTGGTTAACAGCTCTCCTCTGTGACGTGCTTCTGCACAGTTTCGTCACAGCGGCTGTGTTCTGGTATAAAAGCCTCTCTCTAAGACACGCCCCTGCAGCAGTCAGAGGGTGGAACAGTTAGCAAGCTTAGCATGATCGTCTGTTGACCTTCAGCCTCGGGTGGGGAGAGGAGTTGGCTGCTCTCTCTCTCCCCCCTCTGTCTCTGTCTCTCTCCACACACACACAGAGAGAGAGAGAGAGAGAAAGAAACCAGAGGAGGGAAAGAAAGGCAGCAACTTATACAGATTGTCTGTAAATTATGAGGATTTTACATCATTTTGCAGGTATACGGACATATAGATTAATCTCACGGATTTTTTCAAGTCTTACGGATATTTTAAAAACCTCATTTTCAAATTTAGCTAACATGTCAGAGCCTATAGGATGATTTAAAAAAACAATAAATAACATCAAACAGCCATCTTCCAACCTGTTCTGCTGCTATAAGTTACTTTTCCCCCTCTCCTCCTGCTTCGCAGCAGGAGATTTCATGCCCCCCCGCGGGTGCGAGTTGTAAGGATTTTCTGCAAAACTTATGGATTTTTAGGGCTCTTTATACAGGTAAACTAATTTTATTCCTGATTTAAACTAGCGACCGTGAGCAGTTGTGTGCTTTTATTTTTTTCTGTCAGGCTGTCGGAGCGCTCCTCCTCCTCTGTCCGGTGCTGGTGTGGGGTGAAAATCCTCCACCTCAGACGTTCAGAGATGTAACTMTCTGTGATACTGTGGTCACTTTCCATGTAGCATCAATTATGCTAATGCTAGCTGCCTGTCACGTTCTCTTGTCCTGGCCACACCTCCGCTCTCTAACCCCCCTTCCCCTACCCAYACCCCCTCCCCTACCCACTTTGATGCATTTTTCAAATTTCACCTTGGGGCGGAGTTATCTTTTCACAGGGGGGTAAGTTACACTTTAATAACAGCCAATTCAAAAGTACCAGAAAAGGTATAAAAAAACATTACAAGGCAAACTGCAGCATCAAATCAACTTAATGTGTCTTAGAAAGTAAGGAAATTAAAACAATTTAAAAACCATGTGGACGTCTGTTTGTAAACAAAGCTCCTCAACCAATGACAGCGTGTTAAATGTGTCGAGACGCTGTTCCGGATTTAAAAAAAAACATACTTTGACGTTTCAAATCATTATCAAATTTGGAACAAGGGCAGATAAAATAATGTTCTTCATGGCAGCTTATCTCTTTAAGGGGTCACTAGAAAAACTCGGGTGATTTACTTTGATCCGCTTTTCAAAAAATTGTCTCTTCAAAACGCATCAACAAAAATTAAAAACTCGAAGACGAGGCTGTAGCTGACTGCCTGACGTCAGCGCGCTTTGTTGAAACTCGTAGAAATAACAAATCAGGAGGAAATTACAAACAAACGCACCGAGCAGCCTCGCAAAATCTGGTCACAGCAGTTTGGGAAGAAAATGGCAGCAGCTGCTGACGACATGTCAACATCCCTAAATAATGGAACAACAGAGTGTTTGGGGGGTGAGCCCAACTATATCTAGCCGGTAACCTCTCAACCTCACGCACAAGCTCAGGCTCCTTCCCCACCAGAGAGGTGACCTTCATGTCCCAAGATCCAGTTTTGGTAAGCCAGGGTCAGAGCACCTTTAGCTACTGCCCATGGACTCGTACGGCCCCTCCTGCAGGTGCTGGTCCACAGGAAGGCAAACCCGTGTTGCTCTTTCAGGCTGAACCTGGCCAGGCCCCATGGGTAGAGAGACAGGGCACTCGCCAACGAGCACCTCCCCGAGTCCTGGCTCCAGGGTGGGGCTCCAGTGAGCCGCGTCCAGGCAGGGACTGAGCTCATTGATTGTTTTTGTCATTATGAGTGTTTTGAACTGCTCACCTTGGACCAATCTGCTTTGGAAGACCGTCTCTGGACAGCTTAGCTCCTAGGATCATTCAGGCACACAAACTCCCCCACCACCAYAAGGTGACAATTCAACGGAGGAGTGACGATTGAATATAAAATTACAAAATGCCTCACAATAACAGCAATAAAAAGGTTTACATCAGGTGCATGAAAAGTATAAGTAGAATACAAATATCAAAAAGTCAAACGGCTAGTTAAAAGGCTGTTTGTGAAACAGGCCTCCCATCATTGACCACACTGACACTGGTTTTACGTTTGTATAATTTATTTCTGAAAGCTGAGCTGTTTTCTTTGTTTGTGTTTGTCCTGCCGCAGGTCCGACACATCCTCTGTGAAAAACACGGCAAGTGCATGGAGGCCATGGAGAAACTGAAAGCCGGAGTTCGTTTCAGCGAAGTGGCGTCGCAGTACAGCGAGGACAAAGCCAGACAAGGGGTAAAGCACCTGCGTTTAAAACCAGTCGCCTTCTGCATGATGCAGATCATTCCATGACTCATACGCCTCTACCTGCGGAGGCCACACTTTTCCTCTTCGTTTCCCTTAATGCCTGACGCTTTGCTCGATTGACGTCACTTTTTTCAAACGAATTGTAACCATAAAAGTATTTGTGCAGCATGATAAAGTTTCTGTTTTGGTCATTTGCTGTCCTAAAGGTTCGCTGTGATAAATATAACCAACAGGTTATTTTTGAGTTATTGAGACGAATGACGTCATTCACAGCTACTCCACRTTCTCACCTTCAACCCACCAGAGCACCCACACGCTTTCAGTCTTATCCTGAGGGAAACTTCAGCAGATTTTAAGTTACCCGGGAATTCCTCAGAAGTATTTGGGCTGCTAGGAGCCTTTTTTTATTTTTTATTTTTTTTGCTCGACCTGTTTCACCCACATCACTTCTTTTCCCTCACGTCAGGGCGATCTGGGTTGGATGACACGTGGCTCGATGGTGGGACCTTTCCAGGACGCGGCGTTCGCTCTGCCTGTCAGTTCCATGGATAAACCCGTCTACACRGACCCGCCTGTCAAGACCAAGTTCGGTTACCACATTATTATGGTCGAGGGGAAAAAGTAACGTCTAAAAAAACAAACAAAAAAACAGGACTAATAAATTCACTTCTGTGTTTTGTTCGGATTTATTTTTTAATAACTGGTGCAAAATGTTTAACAGAAAAAACAAGATCCTACAAGAAAAACTGTCGATACTCGTATTTTTTTTCAATTCATATGGTTTTTTTTGTCAGTTTTTAAAAGTTGTGGAAGTTAAATCGTAAATAACCAAATAAAGGCAGTTTGAGCCGTATTATGTTGTGTTCCGGTGAAGGACGTGTGTGTAGGAGGGATTTGCAAGGTTGCAAAAGGGTTGTGTGTTTTTGGTAGTTACTTTAAAAAAAAGAGTTATGAACACCTAGCTGTTTCATTTGAATAGTCATAATAATAAAAAAATGGACCAAGATTTCCAAAAGTGTTAATTATTCAACAAAACAATAAAATGGAGTCGTATGTATTTTTACATGGTTTTATTTTTATTAGTTGTTCAAATACTTTGTCTCATCAGAAACAAACACAAACATTTAAATATATCAACATTGCTTATTTTTCTGGTGTTTTTACTGCAGATGTTAATTCTAGTAATTCTTAATTGTAATGCATTTTATGAAGAAACATGCTGGTCTTTACATCTACCAGCTTATGGTTAAACAGATTTATTTTTGGGTTCATAGTTTTTCAGAGTATATTGTTTTGTGAAGGTGAGTCATTAAGTTTATTTTAATTTGTTTGCACAACATCATCAGAGTACTCTGACTCACCCTGCTGGTAGCAGACGTCTTGAACAAGTGGAGAATTTATATA